GGGGGGTGCTGCAGAATCCCTGTCGGATTAACACAAAGTCCTCTAATGGAGCTCGAGGTGGACAGACACTGAACACACCAACAAAATTTAAAGATCACCACTTAAGCTTTAGGTACTTACTTAGGTACTCAGGTAGTCTGGCTCCTGGTGTTCAGCACTGTGGTCTGTGTATTCTGATGGATAAATGGTAGTTGTTAAAAATGGAAATGTAAACTACTATAAAAACTTGCCATTATAGCAAGCTGGCAGGCTCCCTTATATTAATTAAAGTGAGTTATTTACTGACCTTTGATTTAAGTTACAATTAGCTCAAATCCCAATCTGATGCAGAATTCTGTCATTTCTGCTGATTCATTTCATTTCCTAACTCAGATATAGAGGCACTTTCTTCACCGATATTCATTTCTGAAAGTTTTGCATGCCATAAATGTTAAAGCACTCATCGACCAACTTCCTCAAACCACATCACTCCTGGTAAACTGTGAGGAAATCATCATCACCTTCTGTTTGAACAGGGATTTATATCTTCTAAAAAGGACACAGAGGTAAAACGAGATAGGCCACATTGACCAAATACTCCCAGATTCATTCACCCAAACTATCTTTAAGTCATTGAGCATTAACAAGGATCTAATGGGCTAATTGCCATTAGTAACGGTTGTTATCAGTAGGGCTTAGGCGGCCTATCGCCCAGTATGTAGCTTGTGCACATGTGCATGTGTGTTCCTCGCCCTCAGGAGAGGCTCTTGGGTAATCCAGTGTTGACCAGAGGGCTTCGTGGTCCATTACAGGTCACGGCTTGAGACGGAGGGTAAACAAATTCCTAACTAACGAGGGGAGGAGGAGGGAGGAGGCCGGCCTTCACACCCTCCTTCTCCTCCTCCTCATCCCCCATGATGACATGACCCTGCTTGTGTCACAAAGGCAAATCCAGACTTAAATTACTGCTACAGTGGCTGTTGAATAACGGCAATATAATTTATTAAATTTTTTGATTGCATATATTAGTTTAGACGAGCTAAACTTACAAAATTACTGAATAACAAACTAATGAGGCACTAAATACATCAAGCATAATATCAAACATGCAGAAATCTGGAGAAAATGTTAATAAAATTAATTAATGTTGGTTTTGTTGGATGTATTGTCACCCTCATTAAACTCCTGGAATTTTTTCTGCCTTATTAAGTAAAATTTGGAATAATTACGTGTATTTTGTTATTTTGCTTTTTTGTAGATCTTCTTGGCAAATTGCTCAGCTACTGCACATTATTAATAAAAAAAATCCAAAGGAATGAAGGCGATACAAACTGTCTAAAACAAATACACGCACTGAAGAAATCCCTTTTCTCTTTAATTACAAGTTGAATAACATTAGAAATCTCTGAATATGCACAAAACCTTTTAATAGCTGCTCTCTCAGTCTTCTAACCAGTGACATGTGATGAGTAGCTGGCACTCGGCAGCAGCAGCAATACAAAGAGCACTTTCTCACACAGCTCTGGACTCATGCACAGACCTGTAAGTGCTTACTGCGCTCTTTTAGACCACATTTACAGAGGATCAGAGAGAACATTTAACTATTTGTGGAGCAAATGCCACCTAAAGGATCTCTAAACAGGGCTAAAGTTGAACGAATATAGGCTCAGTCTGTGAAGTTTTGATCTGCGCTACTGAAGAGTTAAAAGTGTAATCTTTTGTTTTGTGACTCTTTTTTTTTTAACCTTGTTTAGACAGTCAATTAAGGTAAAGACACAAATTTACAGTAAACTGTAATTTTTAGGTACTTTCCAGAAACCATGATTGGTAAATTCATGACTTGTAATAAAGTGAAACAATGAATAAAAAGGGTTTGTTAAATACACAAAACTCTCTTTAGCGGCCATATAGTCTGCTCAGGATCAGACATGTTGGTTTTACTTTAACTGTATTAGAAATAAACCACCACATAAGTAGGTATTTTGTTTATCTTGACTTTGAACCTATTGTTGTTTTTAATATTCTTTAACATCTAATTTATTATCTCAATTAATCAGTAAGTCCTTTAAATTCCAATATGATGATCCATCCATCTTTTTTGCCAGGTATCTGGATCCGGGTTTTTGAGGCAGATCTAAGCAAAGATGCCCAGACCTCCCACTCCCCAGCCATTTCCTCCAGCACCAAGATACTAACTGGAAAACATCACCTAGGAGGCAGCAAAATGCCTAGTGAGATGTCTTTACCACTTTAACTGAGTCTTTTTGATCTGAAAGTCCTTTCAAATGACCAAGCTCCTCACCCTATCTCTGTTATGACCTCATTATTTGAGTCTCTATCCACAGGTTGCTGTAAGTTTAGTGGTTAGTGTACATTTTCCAGAAACCCAAATATATTCGATTCACAATCGTCAAATAAAGAACGATAAAATGTGTATTATGGTTATTTAGAGTCAAAAGCATTTAGACCACATTGAAAAGGGAATCAGCAACATATTTATGTACTGAAAAACGTCTTTTTTGTGTGCATGCATTATCTTACTGTGAAAACATTACACGGGAGAGAAATTTGGCCTCTTGGCGGCAAACTCAGCCATCAGGAGGTGAACTTTGCAGAAACCTTTCAGTGTGAATTGAAAATTCTCTTAAGCCTGTTCTGCACACAAGCTGACACTTCCTCTTTTCCTCAGCTTCACCCCTGGTTTACACAAGCAGCTGCTGACAGTGGATTGCTTCCTCCACGCTAAAATGCAGATCAGATAAGGACAACAGTCCCGCTCTCACTAAGACCTTCGAAAACACTAACTCACAAATCCATCCTCTCAGACATTGACAACAGTGGGAAGTGGCGGAGTTGCACAACAATCTGCCATCTCATCATCTTTAATGCATGATGTGCTGCTACAACGTGGCAGTATCCCATCAGTAAGCAGCGATGATACAAACTGATTTGGTAACGTTGTGTTCAAGGAAGTTAAGCAAATAAGTTTGTTAATGATGAGTTCCCTTTTTAGAAATAAAATGAGTTACAGTTACAAAATACATGATTGATGTGTTTTTGTGTGTTTGTGTCTAAATAATCCACAGTAATAGATGCATCAGTGCTCCTTACTCTTGGACTCTTCCATTTGAGTAGCTTTGTATGATACATGATTTCAAATAATCCTTATTATTCCTGCCATCCCCTCAACGCATCGTCTGTATGAAATGATCACTTATCATATCCTCTACCTCTACCAACATTCTTCTGATTGGCTGCCCCTAACGAATAAAGGTTTGAACAGCAGGTGAGTGGAGCTGCTGTGGTTGTAGCCAGAGCTGTGTGCTTGGGGTAACTATTTTAATGCTGTTCTTTGTATGTCTGTCATTGATGACACATGGCATTGTGTCAACAAATACAGTTTCACATGACTCTGTGCAGTTGCAGAGCTGTGAAAAAGTATTTGCCCCGGATCTTACGTATTTCAGATCATCGAACAAATGTTTTCACCCTTTCTTACCACCTGACATCTTATCCTCTTAATTTTGATGAACCTCAACTGTTGTACCTAGCCTGGATTTATACATATAGCTGGCAATGGCTAATCCTGAGTTCCCCTAACTATGACTGTCTAATTTCACATAACTTTATAGCTTGTCAAAGAAGGCCAGCACACTATAATATGTTTTCACACCACTTTACAATTGTTCTTGTTGTTGACTTTATGTCATTTTACCAAATAAAGTCTCAAATAATCATAAATAGCCCACAGCAAACTAGTTCATTAAAGGCTAATTGTTATTTACCTACTTAACTGACCTACTTATTATAAGGCCTAAATATGTTTTGCAGCTCCAAAAAGATATTTTGACTCTTTTGATAGTAAAGGTTGGCAATCTGTGCTCTAACATTAGTTTAAAATTTTTTATTGATAAAATTCAATGAACAACAATTAAAATTTCCTTCCTCAGCTGTACATTATGTTTGTGTCTTAAAAGCAGATATTGTGCATTTGAAAGCACTGGGCTAAATGAGTAAACATGATAAAAAAATTTCTGCTTGACATCAGTAATCATGTCATCAGCGTCAGTAACATTGACTCTAGATAGTGAAACAAGTCACTTACAGACCGTTAAACACAGATCATATCTTCAAGATTGACACACTAGCTTTAAGGCCTTAAATACTCATTAAAAGAAACATATTTTACTTTATTGCACCGCACAGACATGCAGATTTTCTAACACACACTTGTCCCAAACGATGAGGCATAACTTGAGCTCCTGTCTAAGTTTTTAGGCAGCGCACAAGCCGGACGCCCCGGAGCCATGCCTCCCACTGACGCCAAACATCATACTTACATGTCACATGTGTCAGTTTCATTTTAACACCTTGGGCAGGTTATGGGTGGAAAAACAGCAGTCCGACTGACAGACGGACCAGTTTGACCTGACTTTCACAGCAAAAGCTGTGACGCATGAGCAAAATATTGAGGTAATGTCAACCCGGGCCTCTGGGATTTGTTAACTTAGTCTGTGTACATTATTTAACCATGTAGTATAATTGTACACACATATGAAGACAAATAGTACAATTAGAGCTATCAATCGTAAAACTTTTCATAGATTTTATTATCTTTATTTTCTAATTAGACTAGAAGACTTTTTTTGTGTGTCAACCATTTTTCATTGATAACAAATGTAACATAATGTATCGTTTTATTGCCAAGATAAATCACTTTTTCAGTCAAAAGACAATTATTTAACAAGGGATCTGAGGACACACACAGACACACGCACGCACACAAACCCCATTTGTTTTTTAGATGTTTAGTAAAACTTTTTACTCATTATGTTGCATTTCATTTCCACAGTGACATAGTTGTTTTTGAAATGTTATGATTTTTAATGCCCAATTGTAAACATAATAAAATACTACACCATAAAAATGTAGATGTGTGTAAGTACACCATAACAAATGTCCCTGTTAAATGACAGTAAAACACTGACAATGAAAAGTAGTGTTGCCATCCTTTAACTTTTATAGCCACAGTAAAAATACTGTAATGTGTTATAAAAAGTGTAACCTTTAGCATATAATACTATAAGCTGTTTGGTTGTTATTACACTGTTATTCTTATTTTATTGTTCTATGGTAATCTCCATAAACAGTTCATAATAGTAAAACATATAAAAGTATTTCATCTAGATGTATAAAAACACCATGACTTGTGTCTTAGTCTAAAGTGCTTTGGGTTTATAGGCTAAAGTGCTCTATGAATTTATGGTTAAATATCACTTATAGTTTAAAGGCTTGGTACTCTTTGTTCTTTTTAAATGCACATAAAGAAATTTGTATTGCAGTACAAATCAGAAAAGTGTAACATGACAGAGGTTTCCTTTGATTGCACAAACATTGTGTAAGCGTAGGTAATGCGGATTATCGGTATTGATTTGTAAATAACTGGACATAAAGCTTGAGTTTATTATATAATTATAATATACTACAGTATATTTCTAACTAACTAGGTAGCTCATTCTCTTGAAAATACTTTAAAAGCAACAACACATTTTGGGGTCAACTTTAAAGAAATGCAGATGTAAAAGTGAGGTCAGAGGTCAACTGTGGCATGATATTTGAACATAAATGTGATATTTAGAATCCCCACACACCAGTATCATTTCCTAAATGTTACAAATACAAAAAAAAATTATAATTCTAAAAAAAATTTAATGAAAGCTTGACCTTGTTTGACCTTGAAGAAGAGGTCAGAGGTCCAACGTAATGAGGTATTTAGAATCCCTGTATATCCCCATATACCTACATGTTGTCAATTCAAGCAATGGCAATAAGAAACAGTTTAAATAGCTCGATTATCCTTCAGGTAAATCTGTTGACCTTAAAGGAGAGATCAGAGGTCAGCTGTGACATGATATTTGAATTCTTTATACTTAATTCAATACTTTTAATGTGTTGACAATTCATAGCGCACTTATAAGAATCACAGTTTTTTTAGCTATTAGCCTTTTTGTCAATTTTCAACCAATAAATCGTCAAGTTGAGCTGGATGACCTCGGTGGCTCGAGCCATATTTCAATTAATTAACATGACCCCACTCCCTACAAAGTTTTATATTATATTATTCATTCAAAACTTTTTGAGCTATCAACAGAATGATGACACACACGCACACAAACGCTACCAGAAACAAAACAACTGATATGAACTTTAACCTTTGTATTCGTATGTATTTTTGGCCTCGATCACAAGGAGCTGTGTTTAATGGTTTCTGTTACCCATACTTTTTAAATGTTTGGTCAATGAAGTCAAGAACCGTCATGCAACATATTGCTCAGATTTATGAGAGTTATGAGTTGACTAAAGCAACAAAGAGTGACGTCAGTATGAAAACAATCCTGTGGTATAATGTATAATTATAAGATTTGAAATGGCTCGATTGTATTAAAAAAAAGAGCAGCGCAATATTTCGAATCCCCCAAAATTCTCTGTATTCTCACAGCTAAGATGTAGTTGTCTTTCCTTTAAGGGTTAATATAAAATGAACAGGTAACTGATCCTGTCGTGTTAGCAGGTTGCAAAGCCGCAACTTAATTTAACCTTTGATCTCTCGTTGCCGGTTTAGATCATGCAGGGTTTTTTGTATCTCTCATGACAAAACAAACTGAACATCATCACTATCCAAACATTAGAGCAGGTTGCACTTTCTGCTTTAATGACAGAAGACATCAACGGGGAGTCAAACACACCTGCATACACGAGGTATCAGCAGCAAAGATCTTCATGTAATAAACCTCCAAACAAAACCACATTTTTTCATGACAGATCACAGATTAAAGGCCTCTTTTCCTGGCATGTAGGTCATTACATTGATCAATAACCAGCACATGCAAATTCTCCTCTGACACAAACCCAGCGAGTGAACAAATGCTTAGTATCGATTACCACAGATCCCAACCCCAAATTAACAGCCGAGGTGTTTATCACGATGGCCTCCTGTGTGTCCACTGCAGTTCCTGTCGCAACACAACGCAGGGGAGGTAAACATTGACTAAGAGTCAACAACACCAAAGACCGCTCGACAAACAGAACTCACACAGGTATGCATATAAAACTACGAGCAGGAATGTCGCAGGTGAAGGCAAGCTGTTTGAGAATGAGTGACAATGAGGGGTTAATGTTTTGGCTTTTTAGGTCAACCAAACACCAAATGTGCGACATTTATATAAGAATGTTTAGATCAGCTGCTTGTAAAACCATTTCTGTTATGACATTTTTTTACTATGAGACAAATTTTCATATATTATAATAAAGAATTTTTTTGGTTCTTTTAAAAAAAGAAATGGGGTAAACAAAGAAAATAATTTAGTTTAGGTTCTATTTCCCTTTCCAGGAAATAGATATAGAGCTGAAAAGAGATATGGTTAGGATTAATAATCCCAGATTTATTTATTTTTTTATTACAGATTAAATATCAGATAAACATTATGCTCATGGTTGTTGTTTTTTTTATTTCACTTTTACTTTACTTTTTTACTCTTGTATTTCCTCAATGATACTAAAACAGATACTAATAAACTTGAACCCAACTTCCTACAAATAATGACATCACAGGTGATGTGCAAGCAGCATATAATTGCTCATAGTTACATGTGAGCTCTAGTTACACCTCCAGTTTTCACCTTTAGATTGTGTAAAATTTTTCATGGTGGAAACCTGTTAAAACAGCTTTCCAACATGTGTTTGCTGTTGTAAAACTGCCTGTTTGAACCCAAAACATAATCTTTCCCAGTGGCTTTGTTTCTGAAACATAACCGAACAACGAGAAAAAACCCAACTTAAAAATAGTTCCAGGCCTGATTTGAACCCCAGGCTTTTGGTCAAAATTCAAATTTGACACTAAAACATTGAAAAAGGATTTTATCATTATCTGGTGAATATGTGGTGTATTAACTATTGGCCCATCTCCTGTAAAAGCTCAACTCTTTCACAGTGATCTAGATGGTTTCTCAAAGATAATTCCTGAAATGCTACCGTGTAACAGCAAAGTGGAGCAGATGAATGATTAGTACACAATACTGATGCTCAAAATTCATTAGCTAAAGACTCCATTAAAAAAGTTTCTTTATTATCTTTGTATCCAACAAACAAATCAGTCTCGTCTGTTTGCTCACCTAATTGCACGGCAAACATTGCGAGAGAAGACCAGAGCTTTTACCTCCTCCTAGCAGCACATCTAACCTTGTTAGACATGGACGAAGCCCTTGTTAAATAAATATCTGCACATAGTGACACAGACAGAAGGCATAACAGCACAGATTTCGCATCGCTGCATTTCACTGTCAACATATCGTTTCTCCCCTCAGATAACATGTGTTGTTAATAAGAAGTTAATACACACACGTGCAGAAGGATTCCCTAGATTATTTCCTCCTGTGTGTGTTTGTGTGTGTGCTAACAAAGTGTCAGTGATTGCTCTGCTATAATCAAATGGTGAAGTTACCGTCTCTCTCTCTCTCTTATTCAGGGGCTGGCTGAGAGAGATGAAACAAATCTCATAAATACTATCATTGAGGAAGGGAATGTACCTTAACATGGTAACTCTAGAGTCTGCTGCAGCACAGCCAATGTGGACCAGCTGTGCAGACTAATCTGTTACCTTACAGAGGCTTTGGGGCGACCATGTCAAATTTAATTGAGCATTAATTATAAACAGTGCAATTTCCCGCCGAGGTCGGCTTGGTGCATGATTGGGGGGGCACCTCTCTTTGGATTCTTTGGGTCTGAAGCTCTTCTGATTACCCCTCCTTTTGGTCGCTCACACTCTTTCTCCCACTGACTCTCATTGGTCCTTTTGCTATGTTTATGTCTCATCATGTTATGCAAAGGCTTGGAAATTTGTGGCAAGGCTCTAATGTGTTTGTTGGCTGAAGTGTTGCGTCACAATTTCAGTGAAATATCTGGAACTAAATATATAGCAAATATTGGACTACAGTGGATTGCAGTAACTCTTTAAAACCCGAACCATGAAATAATTGCCAGAAAGTGAGGATGTTTATTGATTCTTCTGACAAATAAAAAAAAAAACCCAGACAGTGTATCAAATATGATACACTAGGTATTAAGTTGTTAATCTAAATACCTGAGAAATTAAACATATTCAGCCTTTTTCATTCAGTAAACATTACACCGCTGCATCAGCCCATGTGCTTTCTTTGTGAACAGGTTAGAGTGATGATGCTTGCACTTCGTTCGTGTACAATTAATGCCCTTCTACTCAATTTGCTGTACTAGCAAAAGTACTAGCAAAAATCTTGTGTTTCAGACGTTGTACCACTTCAGGTTTAATTCTGAAGATTTTTTTACGTTTCTATGATTTTGTGAGGAACAAAAGAGTCAGTATTTACAGCGTTGACCTTTGCTGGATATCAGCTTTTCAGCCACATCTTGACTGATGGCGATCCATATTTGCCTTACCCGTACTCCAAGTTAATCACAGTTTGTGAGTTCTGGGGGTTTCTCTTGCCCACCTGCTTTTTGAGGTCCAACCAACACAAATTTCATCAAAGACCAACTTTTTCGATGATCTGGGAGCAATTTGGTGACTATGTGCATTTTCCAGCATGATGCAACACCATGTGACAAGGGAAAAGTGATAAGTGAGTCGGAGATCAACAAATTAACATTTTGGATTCATGGAAACTCCCCAGATCTTAATGTGACTGAGAATGTGTGATCAATTCTTAAAAAGCCAAATACTTTCAGTCAGAAGCAATGTAGCTGCTTAAAGGTTTTTAGCTTGGTTGTCATAGGCTATGCTCATTATTCTCAATTTATACAGTAAGTGGTGCTGCTGTTTCTAAATAGATTGTTTATTTGTCTTTATAGCTTAAAAGCCTTTCAGAAATCACGTTGTGCAGGGGGAGCTGAAGAGGTTGGGGGATAGAGACACAGAGTCCTCTTTATTCTTCTGTTCAGTGTTTATGAAACTAACTGCGATGGTCTGTTTTGTGTTATGGTAACACCAGGCCACAGATATATGAGGTATCTGCTAAATAATACAGATGCAAATGCAGCAACACACACACCACACACAGACAGATACAGTGTAGTGTGACAGGGTGTCGATCATCTCTTATCAGCTTGTTCTTCTTTAACTGTGTTTGACCCAG